AGAAATATAATAGTGTTGTGTTCAAGTATGTGCAGTAGGTAATATGCTACATGTTAACATGTAATCTCTGATTTCTGTCTGCTAATATGCTGATTTGTATTAGCAATTTATAGTAGGTCGTTAATAGGAATGTGTCAACTTTACCTTTTTATATGAGCTGTTAACCTGATAGGATGCCATCACTACAAAATTTTCATGGCATAAGAGGTAATATAACAGTGAGCAGTGATTTGTATGAAGCCGGTTGTGCATTGTGTTGATGCTGGTAGCAGAAGGAACCTAATTAGGTGCCATTAGTGAAATACAATAGCTAGAAACGGTGGATGGAAATGATAACTGTATGTAAAATTGTTTCTTTTCTAGATCCTGCCATCAATGACTGAGCTTCCCTGAAATCTTCCTTATCAGTTACTGCCAAGATGAGAAGGATAACAGAAAGGAGGAGTTTTAAGTGGTTTTAATGATAGTTAATTTCACCTATTTATCAAATGACAGTCGTTCTTAAAACTCTTCAATTGTTGTACAAAAGGACACTTTTTTGGAAACTGTTTTTGTAAAATTTACTATTTTGCAAACAAAGTCACTGGGTTTTTTTATGTATATAAAATGAATGATATGGTCATCATGATAAACTTGTCTAAAACTTTTATTTTTGGAATTTTAAACTGTGTACTCTACTCATTTGTTAGAATGGGTGGTGAATGTCACATGAGGAAGTGTTTCTTGCGAGAGTCCTCTTATGCAACAGAATACTTACTCTTATGACACTCATAATTATCTAAATTACTGTTGCCTCAGCCTCCTGCAACAATAAATTGCAGACCTTTCTTTTAGGAATTTCAGATAGAAATATGCAGTGAATAGGGTTTTGTCTCCCTCCTCTTTTGACTGACACATTCTTCCTTTGATCAAAGCTCTTTCAATCTCCAGAAAGAGAGACAAAGGAAAAAGTGCCTTACATGTTCTTCACTTTTCTGTAGCAACGAGAGTGACTCTTGGGTTTTTCTAGTATGAAGATTGCCCAGGTACAAATATTTGAAGGAGAAACAGAAACTGTTAGGTGTTTCTGTGTGACCATGGCTAAGTGCAAGTGTTAGCTGTTACTTATGCACATCTTCGCTTCATACCAACTCCATCCATTCCAGGCCTGGGTTTACTAGGCCTAATTGACTCTAATAGAACCTAAGGGACTGTAGCTCCCTCCTCTAGCCCTGTGAACAGGTAGGTGGTGATAACTTACATTGACTCCATTAGACTAGCATCCTCTCGGTGAGATATAACGTAACCCCCTTCACATGTCTTCCTTAGGCTCAGGCTGGATTCAGAGGTGATGTGTAAAGGGATACACATCTGGAAGTGGGTGAGAGCCTAAGTTAGGTTAGACAGAGCTTACATGCTCAGGGGGCTGGAGGGGAGTGTAAACTGTACCCATTTCAGTTTGTCTCTGGACATGTCCCTGGACCGTTGGTCTTGCCAAAGTGGGTCTGACACAGATGGTGTGTCTTCTTGTGGGGGTGGTCAGTATCAGTGAATGGTACAAATCTTTATATATCCAGAGTACAATTCCATGCTTTTCTGTCTGTAAGAGGCAGCCTGGACTGATACATAATTCATAAGAGCTGTCTAGACACATGGCACCAGTGTGGTGCCCTGCATTACCGTTCCAAAAATCTACGTACATGTATGCTGCTGCATTCATATCCAGTATGGCTGATCTCCCTGCAGCCGGCTGGGGCACCAGAACCAGGGGCACTGTTCTTGATTTTCATATGCCTAGATGAGGACGATCGTATTCCTCTCTGCTAATGAAGATACTGTTGGGTAAAAGCAATAAACACTGAAAAGCATGAGTCATGAAGGGGCTCCTCCGAAATAGACTATCCTCTGAAACAGGTTATTGAACTTGCATGTTAAGATAGGATTTTCCATTCTCCAGACTGGAAACATCACTGGCTTGGGGCTGCAGGAAAAACAAGAGAAAGAATGGGAAACCAGTCCTAGACTCAGCAGACGTGCAGTGTGAAGCAGCTGAAACAGACAGCAGTACAATTAGTCAGTGGAGTTAGACAGAGGGAAGAGTCCAGCTTTCTTCCAGCCAGCCACACGCTAGAAAAGGCGAAAGTGTGCACCCTCCACAAGTGAGCTAAATGGGGGAGGAAGAGGGGATACCATGCAGATATGTAACAATGATACTGTCTGCCCCTCACACCCTTAGATTTGGTTGGGGAAGGGAGAGAGGGATCTTGGGAGAAGGAGGAACAGTATCCATTTGCAGGAACAGAACAGTTCCCATGAGCAGCAATACCAGCCTTCCCCTGTATCTTTTCATGCAGAGCCCACTAATGCCCCACAATTGCCACATAACTCCAAAATAGTGGCATAAGGTGGGTGGATAAGGGCAACAGGTCAGAGATTTGGGGACATAAGCAAACTAACAAGTCCTTTCAATAGCTGTAGCATTTCTTAGACAGTGGGTACCAACAAAGAAGGGTCAGAAGACAGTATTCAGGAGCAGCCATGTGGAAAACTACTTTCATGCTAGGGCTAAGGATTGACAGATCTTTGCTAGTAAGTGTTGCTGAGAAAATTCTGATCACTAGAGTCAAAGCTGCTTTGTGTTGGTCCATGCGTGTGGTGTGTTTCTTAAATGTGAAGAGTGTGAGGGGGCAGAATACTGACTGCTTAATTTCCAAGATCCTCCCTGCAACTCTTCTTCAACTGGGGTGCAATTGTGAAGGAAACGGGGCGTAGCTCTAGGCTTGGGCGAAATGACACATGCAGCAGGACTCCCTGGGCGAGTTACTGATCAGCTCAGCGGCACTGCTACACTGCGAGCACAGTGAAGGGCCTTATCCTTAGGACTACTGAACATCTCCAAGTGCCATTCACTTAAAAAAAGTTAGGAATGCTCAGCTCTTCTAAGTCAGCCCTTAATTCATGTAAACTGCAGCTTAATTTTGGCAATTATAGAACCAATATTAAAATGCTTACTGAGATGCTTGTGATTTCTTAATAATCTTTGTCGGCCTGCACAGTAGTAATACCATGTAGTTATACATAATTAAACCAATACTGTGCAGTAACATATGTTTTGTATACAACACAGTAAGAACTACATTAGGTCAATGACTTAAAATCTTACTTGAGCACATATGACTGCATTTTAGTTAAGATTGTCATACTGTTTATGTAGCTCTGAAAAAGAAAGTGTTTCAGAGCAGACAGATTTTTTTCTTTATAAATACTCCAAATAATAGGTTGGTTTCAACTAGACTTCCTGGCTCTACAATGATTGCTGTATTCTGTATGAATATTTCTAGATCCCAAGCATTTCATAATCTTGTGCGTCATTATTTTAAACATCTATTTCTTTTTCTCCACAAAAATGTTTCACAAAACACGTGGTTTACCTCCTGAACTGGTACTGTAAATTTATTTTTTAACTCGTTCCTTTAATTCAGACTTGGAGTGAATCAGCAGAACAAACTATTGTCCAGTCAAGAAAATTTATCTAAATATAGCAATCGATTTTAGTCAGGAGTTTTCATACTCCAGGCGTACCAAAACATTTCCAAGGCAATAGGTGTTCATAGAACCCTAGGACTGGAAGGGACCTCCAGAGGTCATCTAGTGCAGTCCCCTGCACTCATGGCAGGACTAAGTATTATCTAGACCATCCCTGACAGATGTTTGTCCAACCTGCTCTTAAAAATCCCCAATGATGAAGATTCCACAACCTCCCTAGGCAATTTATTCCACTGCTTAACCACCCCGACAGGAAGTTTTTCCTAATGTCTAACCTAAATCTCCCTTGCTGCAATTTAAGCCCATTGTTTCTTGTCCTATCCTCAGAGGTTAAGAAGAACAATTTTTCTCTTTCCTCCTTGTAACAACCTTTTATGTACTTGAAAACTGTTATGTCCCCTCTGTCTTCTCTTTTCCAGACTAAACAAACCCAATTTTTTCAATCTTCCTTCATAGGTCATATTTTCTAGACCTTTAATTATTTTTGTTGCTCTTCTCTGGACTCTCACCAATTTGTCCACATCCTTCCTGAAATGTGGCACCTAGAACTGGACACAATACTCCAGGTGAGGCCTAATCAGCGTGGAGTAGAGCACTCCTGCTAATACATCCCAGAATGGTGTTTGCTTCTTTTGAAACAGTGTTACACTGTTGACTCATATTTAGCTTGTGATCTACTATGACCCCCACATCCCTTTCTGCAGTACTCCTTCCTAGACAGTCATTTCCCATTTTGTATGTGTGCAACTGATTGTTCCTTCCTAAGTGAAGTACTTTGCATTTGTTCCTATTGAATTTCATCCCATTTACTTCATTTCTCCAGTTTCTCCAGATCGTTTTGAATTGTAATCCTATCCTCCAAAGCACTTGCAACCCCTCCCAGCTTGGTATTGTCCACAAACTTTATAAGTGTACTCTCTCAATGCCATTTTGTAAATCATTGATGAAGATATTGAACAGAACCAGACCCAGAACTGAGCCCTGCGGAACCCCACTTGTTACGTCCTTCCAGCATGACTGTGAACAACGGATAACTTCTCTCTGGGAATGGTTTTCCAACCAGTTATGTACCCACCTTATAGTAGCTTCATCTAGGTTGCATTTCCCTAGTTTGTTTATGAGAAGGTCATGTGAGACAGTATCAAAAGCCATGTCTACTGCTTCTTCCCTCTCCACCCCCCATCCACAAGGCTTGTTACCCTGTCAAAGAAAGCAATCAAGTTGGTTTGACAAGATTTGTTGTTGACAAATCCATGCCGACTGTTACTTATCACCTTATTATTTTTTAGATGTTTGCAAATTGATTGCTTAATTATTTGCTCCATTATCTTTCTGGGTACAGAAGTTAATCTGACTGGTCTGTAATTCCCCGGGTTGTCCTTATTTCCCTTTTTATAGATTTGGCACTATATTTGCCCTTTTCCAGATTCTTCTGGAATCTCTCCTGTCTTCCATGACTTTTCAGAGATAATCGCTAATGGCTCAGATATCTCCTCAGTCAGCGCCTTGAGTATTCTAGGATGCTTTTCATCAGGCTCTGGTGACTTGAATACATCTAACTTGTCTAAGTCATTTTTAACTTGTTCTTTCCCTATTTTAGCCTGTTGTTCTACCTCATTTTCACTGGTATTCACTGTTAGACATCCAATCACCACCAGCCTTCTTGTTGAAAACTGAAACAAGTCATTAAGCACCTCTGCCATTTCCACATTTTCTGTTATTGTTTTCCCCCTGCTCATTGAATAATGGCCTACCCTGTCCTTGGTCTTCCTCTTGCTTCTAGTGCAGGGGTAGGTAACCTATGGCACACGTGCCAAAGGCGGCACGCGAGCTGATTTTCAGTGGCACTCACACTGCCCGGGTCCTGGCCACCGGTCTGGGGGGCTCTGCATTTTAATTTAATTTTAAATGAAGCTTCTTAAACATTTTAAAAACCTTATTTACTTTACATACAACAATAGTTTAGTTATATATTATAGACTTATAGAAAGATACTTTCTAAAAACGTTACAATGTATTACTGGCACGCGAAACCTTAAATTAGAGTGAATAAATGAAGACTCGGCACACCACTTCTGAAAGGTTG